CCTCGGGTGATCCTTTGACGAGCACATAGTTGCCACCATCTCCTACTCACTGGAGTCTTCGGTTCATTCCCCATATCCCCAGCAAGCTCCGACACTGCTCTGCTCCGACCTTCCATGCTGAGGTTGAGGATGGCGCCATCCTCGACGGAGACCTACACACACCGTCCGCGATATGAACGCAGCAAGGCTTTGAGGGCAAGGAGTGGCGGAGAGGATTTTGGGATACTCTCGGGAAGATTTTGGACCAGATGGTTTGAAACAAACACGGCCGCTCGCCCAACGACATCCTACACGTTCTCAGGTGCACATTGCCGCCAGCAAACGCAGCGTATCTTCCCATCTCTCATCTGGCTCTGACCCTTTGCGACTTCGAAGTTCCAACCGAGTATCCGATCGAGTGCCACGAGGTGGCTCTACTCCTCCAAAGGCCTAGTTCAAGCCCATATCATATAGGAAACTGCATATGCGCTTTTAAAGGGCCTCGGCAATCACGGCCATTCGCTGCAGCTGCGAAGCGAAATGGAAACGCCTGAAGCCGAAACTCACAACTTTAGCAGACCGGAGTGTGCGCAACTACTTGAGGACGTCGCTGCAAGATGCGTGCATGCTTGATGCCAGCACCTTGCAGCCCACGAATATGTCCACAACATCTTCACAAATCAGCTTCTGACTGGACGTGACTCGGGCACCCACAGCAACTGGTGTTGCCCTCGGCCCTATCTGAAGCAGCCTTAGCACATCTCAGCACAGCATCAGCACGATTCACATTTGCACACTTGCGCTGCTTAAGGTCGGCATATGTCGTGGAATCATTTATCACTTGCATTGACTTTCTAAGTTTCTTGCTGGAGCTTGTGCAGGCATCGCAGTTTCCTCCTTTGCAAGGAAACACAAAGCAAAAGAGTGCAGACGGCCTCGGCCACCAGGGCTACATCACACCGGCCTGGGAATCATACGACCAACCAACGCCCTGCAGTGCGGCAACCTTGCAGTCGTCTCAGCCGGGCTACAGCTGCACGGATCTGCACGGTACCAGGCTGCATCCCTTGCACCTTCCCTGGTCGTCTATAGCCAATTCTAGCATTTTCAGAATGCCTCAATAGGATCTCCCGTCAGCTTGCCATCGACCTGGACCTCGGCACTCTTTCACCATGCCCTATGCACAGGTCTTATGCATGCTTGGGTGCCAACCAAGGAGTGACAAGCAGCCAGAACAAGTGCTGCTGCCGTTTCCGCATCAGAAACCTGCACCTCGTTGCTGCACGTCAGCACGTCAGCACGTCAAGTCTGAGCACTGCAGAAATCGCATGCCTTCGGCGGAAGCAGACCATCCTGCCCAGGCTGGCTGCCACCATTCACCACGCCTACAGCGAATCTGAAAAAGCCAATGTGGCATTGTTTTTTTCAATCGGAAGTGCTTGAGAATTTTGAGCCTACCGGCACCAACGTGTCCGTTGTGAGCGTACCGGTCTTGTCGAAGAGGCAATGCGTCAACTGCCAGCATCCAGCAGGTCTGGAGATGCTGTCGAGCATTTAGATGGCTTACCGGAGTTATGACAGTTATGACCACATGTGACCACCTTGCCCGCCAGTGGCACCCGATAAGGCTCAGTGCAGTAGACTCCTGACCGCGAAAGAGCCATCAGGGCCTGGCAACTGAGATTCGCAGGGTGGAAGATGCTGCACTTTGGTGCTGGTTGATGCGGTAATTTGCGTTTCGCACCGTGTTGACTGCCATGGCCGTCTGGATCGGAAGCTGCTTCGGCACAACGGCGGTGAGGATGAGGACGCACCTTGGTCGCCAGTCGACTTCTGCTCGGGCGCAAATGGCGCTTCTGTCTGCGTCTGCGGCTTGATCAGCAACTCGTGCGGAGTCTTGTCACCCTTCTCCAAGCCCACCTTCAGGACGTAGCCTTCAGAGCACCACAGCGCAGTGAGACTTTGACAATTGTGAAAGAAAGGAATCGACAAATACCGAAAACGTGCAGCTCCAGGCCTGCGGCCACAAGAGCAAAGCCCAACAGAATCAGCAAAGCGATGATTACCTCTGCTGAATTATGCACGCACGCACGCACACACAGACACAGACACGGACACAGACACGGACACGGACACAGACACAGACACAGACACAGACACAGACACAGACACAGACACAGACCAGACACAGACACAGACACCAGACACAGACACAGACACAGACACAGACACAGACACAGACACACAACAGTCAAGTCATGAGCTTTCAGCCCGCCTCCTTTGTGTCTCCGGACACCTGCTAGCAAAAGGCTTGCCGATCGGGCAAAACCTTAGTCCCTGAACTGTTGCGTCTGCCTTGTCCTGAGAGAACTCGATCATCTGCAGGAGCTGTCCCTGCGAGGATGCAAATCCTGTTCGAGCCTCAACAGCGAGTTCTACAACAAGAGTCCGGAAGACTTCCAGAACTCAAGAGCGATTTGATGCCCCCGTGGCTTCAAGGTGACCGTGCTAGGCAACTGGCCACAAATACCAAGCTGCCTCCATTTGGAGTTGCTGGTACCTTCGCTGAGTAGCAACCTCTGAACAAGACATACGTCAATGCACATGATGGCGACCTGCGCAGCAGCGCCACCACCTGCCCACTTTGATGCTACTGCAAGTTGGACATGACTTGGAAACCTCCAAGTTCGGACGGGCTAATCCCTCCTGCAAGTCCCGAATTACAGTTCTTTCCAGCACTGTTCGGGCTTGACCCCAACATACAGGGTGCAGAACAAGCAGGCAAAGCATTGTGCATTCAGGCCTGCCGCCTGTTCCGCCTGAGCTCGATTGCATGGCTTTTCATGTTATATCCATCCTCAAGCAGACAGAGTCTTTTTGTGTGGGGGGGGGGTACTCGGGCGAAGGCAATGGGCGTCAGTGAATCCCCATGGAACCCCTGCTTCCCCAGCTCTGATGCCCTGAAATTCTACGTGCCGGCTACGCGCCGGGAATTGGGGTCCTTAACCTAACCTAGGGGGACATGGGCACGTGTCATGTCTGGGTTTCTTGTTTTGTTTTCGGGGGAAGGGGGTAGCATCATGCGCATCAGGCTCGGTCCGGGGTGGGCGAGCCGGGAGCCTTTCCTTCCAAGAGCATCTGGATCCGGATCTTGGTTTCCCGGACTCGGTGATGCATGCCACCATCCTCGCGTCTGGCGATAGACCACGGGTGTAGCCGGATTGCTTTAGCTACCTCCAGACATTGGGCAGCGCCCGGCGTAGGTCGCCAGCAGGGCGGAAGCCCCAGCTGGACCGCAGTGCCATGTTTAGCATCTTGCTTCTTGGAAGGGATGCTGGAAGCACCAAAGGGGGTGGAGCATCGCATCAGCTCAGGTCTCGAGGCCAAGGCCCGAGCCCGGACAGCCCGGACAGCCTGATCCCTCAAAACCCCAACCCCTACAAGCCCTGAGCCTTTAAACGTCCTAACCCCTACAAGGTCGAGGTGGAGTTCGCAGCCCTAAACCCCCAAAAGGATTGCTTCCCAAAAGGGGCCGAAAAGCCCTATAAGCTCCTAAAGCCTCAAGCCCTAAACGCCCACCCAAACAGCCTCATGAAAGCCCTAAACCCCGTAGAATGTCTGATCCCTAAAAGCTTGAGGCAGTTTCGAAACACCCGGCAAGCTCGGACAGTCCGGGACATCCAGACATCCCGGACTGCGAGGCTTTCCAACTGATGTTTCAGTCTCATCCCCCACTTTATGGTCCACAGGGCTTGCCAACTGCTTGGGAAACTCTAGGGTTTAGGGTCGGCCTTCGCACACCTTTCGCCCCACCGCGAAGGTTTCACATCCCTTCCTCGTTATGACGAACGACAACTACAATCCCGGGCATCCTAATCACCTCCATTCACCTCCCTCGCTCCCCAATTCCAATCTGCACATATGCCGGGCAGCCAAACTCAGAAACGCCTGACAGACACAAACAAATCCCGGCTCCACCCTGGACAACACCCCGGAAAGCCTGGTGGTCCTAAACACGGTCCCCAAGCACCCCGGATACCAACCAGACACTAACCGGAACGCCTGGTGGCCCTAAAAACGGTCCCCGCGCACGCGCACACCAACCGGACGACTAACCGGACGCCTACCGGACACGAAAAATCGAACAACCCAAGAAACTTGGAGAAACCGGCAGAAACCGTCCCCGGTGACTTTTGGGAAATTGCCCTCCGGGTGTCAGTTGGCTGGGGCTGCACGAGCTGCACAAGGCTGTCTGCGAGGGGTAGGCGGGGGGCTGCGGGATGCTGTGAGGGGGTGGGGGGGGTGCCCCGGGGACAAGGCCCGGACACCGCGCACACCTGAAAAAAACACAATTGCCCCAACCTGCCGGGCACCCGAAAGGGGGCATGCTGCTCCAGATCAGTTGATCACAAAGATCCGCAAAGTGCCGCGCATCCTTGTTGCTGCCTTCAGACGCCCGAACGATGCGAGTACCTGTGGCATCGTCAGAGAAAATGAAAACAAGCAGACAGCCTTAAATGCTGCAGCCCACTGCAATTGGACACGACATGACACGAGAGAGCACACAGTAATATGAGCACACATGAGCACACTTGCAATTTTTGGGCTGTGCGCCTGAGAAGAGGCAGTGGACACGGTCGGCTCCTTGCAAGTCCAGGCTCCGGTCCTCAAGATGCAAAGGCACCGATCGGAGCGACATGAATCGGTGAGCGGAGACGAAGCTTCTCTCCTCCAGCACCAGGGCATCCTTCATCTGTGGTGCTGATTCTCCAGTCAAGCTGGCTTCGCTCGCCACGGCCTATTACACAGAGGCAGTGGACCACATGAAGGCCAAACGTTCACCTGGCCTCACCCCGAATGAGCACACAGTCACACGGCACGATATCAGGTGCCACCTGGATTCCGCGCACATGATTTTTTAACACAGAAGAAGCGGCGAATTCTGGCCTTGTCGGCAGAAGCTTCCTGACGAGTCACCTGCGGCACAAACGGCAAACAAACCGCATCGTCAGAGAAGGGAGTTAGCCGACCGTCACCAGTTCGATAAGGTCACCCGGGACCAGGTCGGACGTGCCTGCGCATCCGTGATCCAACTCGGACTCGCACAACCGCCATTGTCGATGATTCTTTGACAGTCTCAAAAGGCCATTGAAAGGGTTGTCAGTATGAGTCGTTGAGTAGTCTTGCATGGCTCAAGGCTCACCATCTCTCGGCTCTGGGACGCGAGCTCTTCTCGACCCAGCATCCCCCGCGGTAGACCTAGCCATCAGATGCCATCAGGCAAGTGTGTGTGTGGAGCAGAAAGCAGACTGGAGGCGCCCACCATGATGCCGTAAGACTTCGTGCCCATGCTGTTCAGCATCTTCATCGTCTTGAGCCGCTGGAAGACGCTTGTGGATTCCATGGTCAAAATGAACCTGGGCAGAATCGTGTCCAGCGTCCTATCAAAATTATCTTGCACATAGGCCATATCATATAGCTACTGCGGGGTCATGTCGCGAAACCTAGCAATCAGCAATCATTGTCTCACCTCCAGCCACACCCCCGTGAATAGTCATGCTCCGCAGCCTCCCACTCACCTGCGCCTATCAAAGAGGGCTGCCCACTGAGATGCGGGCAGCATTTGCATTAAGGTGTAGTTGAAGAAGTCGTCAGCTGCCCAAATGAGGGCAACGAAGATCTGGGCAACAGTCTCCAAGTGAACATGTGCTGTGGCAGAGACCGCTTTGTTTTACAATGTCCTTGCTCTGTCTGGCAGCCTCAGGCCCAACTGCTTCAATTTCGAGCATCTTGGTACCGCACTCATCTTGCTTCAGTCATATTCAGTCATATTCAATCAATCCCTGAGAAGGCGCCTGGAAGATGACCAATGGTGACAGCAGCTGCTCCTGGCTCTAGAATCTCTCGAACCTCCACCTGACTCAACCTGACCTCAGCCTCTGACAGTGACCCCGGAGGATCGTCCAGAGATCGTCCAGAGTGACTCGCCAAAGGCAGTCCTTGTAGCACTGGAAGAAAGTAGGGAGTTCGACCTTGGTTGACGGAACCCATTGAAATAGTGCAAAAGGCACCACAAGAAGCGACACAACCCACCATGCAACACGCCCACATGCCCACATGACATGCCCACTCACACAGACACACAGACACACACACACACACACACACACACACACACACACACACACACACACAGAGACACACACACACACACACACAGACAGAGTGGGACCGTGGCCTCAAGCAAGTTGTCGCCAAAGCGAGTCTTTAGATGCTCAGCATCATCATTGCCTAGGCCAGTGGCCTGCACTGCAGGGGCTCCCAATCTGAGCGGAGACCATATTCATATTTGGTACATTGTGGTACGGTCAACTACATTCAAGCTCACCAAGCCCGCAGACACCAGCCTCCAAGTACTGCGCGAGTGGCTCGTTGACGGGACAGGGCGTCAATCGCACTTCTCCCACCTGCAGCCAAATGAGCCAACACATTGCACCTAAGTCTTACGAGCTATCTACATCTGTCCGGCGCGCTTCGCCTCCTCGTCTGGATCAGTGCCACCTTCGCCTGCGCCAATCTGTCACGGAAGAAGCTCGAAGCTCGGAAAAGCTTGCACGGACAGAGGGAGGGATGGAGTGGGAGAGCCAGGGGAGGGAGGGGAGGCAGAGCGAGCGAGAGAGAGACAGGGAGAGAGAATGATGAGCGTAGAGCATGTTGTGAGAAAGCGAGCGAGGGGGAGAGGGAGGGAGAGAGGGAGAGAGACAGAGAGAGAGAGAGAGAGAGCGACGGAGAGCGTTGGAGCGAGGCTGTCAAATGCAGTCCTGGATCGAGGCATTCGTAGTGCTGACGCTGGAAAATGAAGGTCAGACGAAGAGTCGTCTCACAGAACCTTCGTAAAGACGTAAAGATCAAGTCAGTCAAGTCATCAAAAGTCTAAACTCGAAGTTTTCTATCGCCTGTGTTTCTCAGAGTCAGACGTCAACGGCACCAAGGCCGGCCTACCGCGGTGCCTGGAGAGCAAATCGGCTGCCCATGTTTTCAAGGGTATACGCTGTGGCACATGGTTGCTTTTCCTTCGCTTCTTTGATCTTCTTTGTCTTCTTTGTCTTCTTTGTCAAGTACTTCTCTAATCTCTGAACATGGAGGTTGCATGATACGTCTGATGAACATGCTGGGCTCTCGCTTCGTCAGGTCTTCTGAGTGAGCAGCGGGAGTGGAGTGACCTGCTCGAGGGTTGTGTTGCCGCATGATGCGACACGATGTCTGTAACCCCAATCCAAACAAAACAGTGCTGTAGGAGATGGAACTCCATGGTGCATGGATGTGTGTGTGTGACTGCTGTAGCATCGACAACAAACAACTCACAAGCTTCTACCGTCTCGTCTGCCTGAACATAGAAGCCTTCCCGCACTTTGCGAGCAGGCTGAAACAATGTGAAGGCTCGGAAACCGACCTTCAGGCAATCTTGTACAAGCAACGCACGACACACTCATCGACAGCTTGGGAAAACTTGCTTGCATACAACCTGCAAACAGCGTAGACGACCCGTCTGTCTTACCGCACCGCAGATACCACAATTCGAACCCCTCAGGCGCGCCAGCCCCCCACCCAACCATAAATACCCAAAAACTGGAGTATGCTTTGGTTGAGGGGAGCTGTTGTACTGACCATTCCCGACAATAGACGACCATGTGAATGTCCAAAGGTTTCAAAGGCTTCCTCTTCACATGGCCTATGGCAGCTCTTCTAGACATCGTCCACAGGGCAGTGATGGGTCGGGATGTTTGTGCCCCTACCATTCCAGACCTTGCACCCCATTTCGAAAAGGCGCACCATTCCAGACCCTCACGGCTATTGGCTACACGGGCTATAATGAGAGTCACTCGATGCGCCTTCCAGTGGCAAAGAAGATGGAAAAAGACATGAAGAGAGATCCTGAGCACGGAAGAAGTGCATGAGTACGTGTATCTCATCACAGTATCTCTGGCACAAAGCCGGTCAAATCGGTTGCAGAGCGACGTGGCGAAGAGCGACGCGCTCGCCCATGGATTTGGAGCCTCAGGATCTTGCTCAGTGCTCCACATGTGAAGCAAGTGCTCCTCAAGGTGACTGAGCCTTGAGCCCACTCGGATGGTAGCTGCTCCTGCGGAAGCTTGTCCTGCCAGCGATTGCCTTTGCATCTTATACCTTCTTGTTCGGCAAAGGCTCCGAAGACTCAGAGACTTGCCGACAATGGAGGCACACTTGGCAAAAGCGTCGAGGCGCAGTAAGGCTTAGAGAGAGCAGGGTTTAAGATTCTGGCGCTACGGTGGCCCTGCTGTCATCTGCCATGACTGCAGTGCAGGGCGCGTAAACCCGACCCCAAACCTTCACCCCTGGGCGAACTTTAAAGGATGCTGGTGTCTGGCGTTTAGACATGCGACAGGTTTAGGCCGCGGAGGCATTTCTCAGCGTGAGGGGGCGCTAAAGACTGTTGATGCTCCCTTACCTGCGACTCAATCCGTGCATCTGTGTCCACGCCATCCCCACCCCACGTTCCCCGAGGATGTTGAAAAACTCCGGGCGGTGCAATTTTGGCTGTGGGGCTTTCGAAATACAGAAGCGGGCCAAAGGTTAACGTGATCACCGAGGGAAAAGCTAAAGTGAATCTGCCGATAACTGAGTACTGCGAATCGCCAAAAGCAGCAGCATCCGAATCATTCAGAATCATTGAACCAAATCGCATCTTCATCTCTGCGCAACCAAGACCAGGCCTCTTCTTTCGTACCGTTGAGGAAATGCTCTCGGTTTAGCTTCCGAACTCGCTCAAGGGCTGCCTGGCAGATTGCACACAATATGCGGCACAATGCTGCATGTTTGTGTTTTTGAAGCTACTCGCCCTGCCGTGACACGTGATACACATGTGACTCATGTGACTCAGGCTGCGCCTGATGAGCCTCCCCAGATGTCTGGATGCAGAACTGCAGGGCCAGCCCATGCAGGGCCTTGGGACCATCACTTTGACTTTGCGAATCTATGTGTCCAGGCACCGCATGGCGCGGCTGGTTGCAACGCCGAGAGGCCACAAAGCCAGCGAGAATGGCAAACTTCCGCTGTGCTGCCGGCGAATGCACCTCAGATGTGTATGGGATTCCTTTTCTGGGTCACATGCCGTCCTCGTTAGCCGTTAGTCGCCGACAGTCACCCGTGCAAGAGAGGGAGGGTGCCGAAGCGACAACTCATCTTTCATATCTAAACTAACGTAAACTGTGCCTGCGAGGATTTAGTCTCACCCATGTTTGGCTGCTGTTAAGTTGGAGATGTTGAGATTCCTTGAAGAGTCTGCATGTACTGCTCAGGACTCTAGCACCATCCGACTCCTAAACTGCCTTGACAAGGTTGGGACACTTGCGCTTGAGAGCATGTTGGAAAACTGTCAGGCTCGGGCCAATGATTGAGCAAGATTCGAAGCGTGCAAGAAATGTCACAAATTTCTACATGTACTTGCTCTTCAACAACTTGTTCAGTGCAAACCGCAGCCAAAAGAGCCTTTGTCGATGCATCGCTGCTCACATCAGCTCACATCCACTGAGGGTGAGGAAACGAGAAGAACGTGGGACGTGTGCCTGCAGGTCGCAATTGGCCAAGGAAGCCCCCGGCCCGTTTGGACATCAGTCTGAATCGGTGATTGAGTATGAAACATGGAGAAGTCTTGTTCAGTGAAGTAACTCCGGGGCCTTGTCAAAGGAAAGCTCAAGTCAACCTTCACGCAAAGGCTCCGCAATTTCACGTGCCTGAGCATTCTGACGACTCCGGCGCGGTTGCGACGACAAGATGTTCAGCAAAGCACCAACAAATAGCATGTCACAGTGACAGCCGCAGTTTAATGGAGGTCAAGTGGCAGCTTGCTGCCGCTTTCTCCTGATATACAACGTCCCCAAGACTGCTGCAGTCAGGAGCACCAGTGCAACAATAAGGCCTGGCGAGGGAGTCGAAATTACGTCTCAGTCTTACTGATCTTACTTGCCATTGTGGATGCGGATTGCTGTCGTTGCTTCGGAACATGCAACCAGCAATGACCGGCAATGTTTTTACACCAGCGACCCATGACATAGACATGGAGGAGGCAGCCGTTGAGTGAGCCCGGTCACCATGCCGCTCTCAGCAATCATACCTGAACAACTTTCGATGGATTGAAGATCAGTGGTGGGTTAGTCAGGGAGGCAAGCGTAGCGACTAAGCTTGGCAGAGAAAACACGAGCGCTCTGCTCCACTTAAGCGCAAAGAACCCAACACTTCTGACACTCTGATGCGCCATTCCGTATCTAACTGGCACGAATCTGCGAGTCACGCGAGTCTTGTTTTCCCACAGCAGGTCTCATCAAAGCTAGTCGACAAGTTGGCTGATCCTGCACGGTGTGATGGCCATGGCCGCGGCCAACCTGCTGGCACACACCTGCGACATCGGGATCATTCTGGATCTTTGCTTGTGAGGCTGAAAAGCCTCCAATACTGAGTGCCACACTCTGGCGGCTCGCAATTGCAATGGTGGTAGTGCCTGCCACTGCCCCATTTTGTGAGCTATATCGTGGTGACATGAGACACGGCATGTCAAATCACGGTCGCATGATGTCACATGCTCATGTCCTGGCCTGGTCTTTGAGAGCTTCATGGCACTTCCTCTCCATCCTCGCATAAGCACTTCGGGCTCGGCACGGTGGACGTGGTAAAACCAATGCCTGTTGCAACGCTTCCTCGAACGACATCAAGCGCAATTGTCGAGCAGGGGCCGCGCAGGCTCAATGCAGAATCAATGCAACCTCCAAGCCTCATCGAGCACATTTCGTCGTCGCGCGGGAGGCGATTCGTGCGCTTCCAGTGCTGGTACTGCTTGGTGTCACTCCGAAACCTCCAAAACCAGAGACCACGTCAGTTTCTAGCTAGGCATAGCTGAATTGTACCATAGCCAGTCCTCCAATGGCCGGAAACCGTTGGCACCTCAACATGAAACGGAAACACCTTTGTCATCCTTTGTCGTCTTCGTCTTAAGGATTAATCGCCCACTTTGGTGGCAGGGAGGGAAAGGGAGAGGCAAAAGAGAGCTTACAAGACAGTCTGATTCAGAGAATGTGTCTGATGTTGCAAAATGTTGCAAAGCCTCAGGACTGCGCGGCTTCTCCCTGCTCACTTCGCCGATGTGCCGCCTCCAAGTCGGCGCGAAACTTGCGAATGGACGGCAGCAGCTGGCCTTCAACACATGCCCACTCCCAAAATCTGTGTCAAGCCAGAAATTTGCCCACGCCCTGTACAATCGCCCCCCTCACCCGAAAAAATACTCCATCACGCCCCGTCATGCCCCGTGACGCACCCAACCCCTTCCCCACTTCTCGCACGTCCCCGCTACATCCATCACACACCGTCCCGCCCCTCACGCACCCGACGCCCCGTCGCATCCCGTGTCACGCCGCGTCCGTCCAAAGTCACCTTCTTGAACAAACATTTGGCGCATCACGGCTATCCCAAAGCCCGCTCCCCCCCATATTCAAGTGTGAAGAAGCAACAAAGAACCCGTCCGAGATGTTAGCAATAAACGCCTCCGAAGGCTATCTCTCAAGATTGCAACGTTGATTGCAACGTTGAGAACTGGGACCTCGACCGACGCCAACCACAGCAGCATGAAAACGCGCATCAACATCTGGAAAGACCTGGAGAAGTCCAGCGCAGAGACTTGCTCCATCACGCATGCAACCAGCCTGCAATGGCAGTGCGTTGCCCTCATCCGTGCGCAACAGCCTGTCGTAGTTCAGCGGGAACAGCCTGCCAGGCGCTGAAACTTGCAAAATGAAGTCCATATGTACACGGGCACAGTAAGAACAATGCTCCGACAATGACGGCTGCCTGCTCTCGTTCCCGGCACGACTGATGAGCTTCTGAAGGATGTCATCCAGCAAAATCTGAGCCACCTCCCGGCAGTGACGTCATTAGCGGCATATGCGGCATATGCAGAACTCACGAATCAAATTCACAAACTCAGACCTGGCGATTGCAGAAGAAAACCACATCGTGCGCGCTGTAGACCACGGAGGCGCTCAGAATCTGCGCTGGCACTCTGTAGCGCACGCTCGACACTCTGCGATACTTCGAAGCACAAAGCTCAGAGCCCTGCCTCTGGGAAGTCTGCCAGGCGAATGGGCGTAGCAAGTTCCACATCCGTCCGAAACTTGAGGACCTAATCCAGAAGCTTTGTTGTCGGACTCACACGTTTCGGCTAACCGCAGAATTGATCTGATCTCCGCTGGCTCCGAGGCACCAAGTCATACTTCCAGCCTGTGGAACGCTCGTGGTCCTGCGACTTAGGAAGGACTAGACGCGACATGATGCGACCGCACCACCAGGCAACCAGATATTCTGAGTTACCCTTGCGTCCTCCATCATTGCATACGCCTTCCGCAGCTTGAACCACTGCCGCATGTGCTGGGATCCCACAATGGAATGGAACTGTTCCTCAAGGATCACGTCCTGCATGGATGCCACCTGTCAATGCCCACGCATGCCCACAAGAGCTTGCATCCGCCGGACAGCTGCAAGCAAAGCGGGCAAGGCAAAGCAAAAGCAACGCAAAGCAAACAGAGTCAGCATGATTCAGCATTCAGCATCAAGCAAACTAGTGCAAATCCCGTGGCCTGGAGTTTTGCCGAGACCCAATCACCAACCAGAATAGAAATCGCATCACTGCAGCCATCTGATTTGTATATCGGAGAGGTGTACACCTCTCATTGCCGTGTCAGCGGTTCTGCACTGCCAAGATTCTTTCTGCAACTCTTGTAAGTGCCACGAGGGTACGAACACTTGGTACTGCACCTGCAGGGTGCAAGGCATTGCAAGGCGTGCTATTTTCACACTAAAGCTTTAACACCTTCGAGATGCCTCCTCCACAAAGAGCCGACCGAGAAGCAAAACCGTGGCTGCGGGAGCGCGCACAAGAGAGCCGATCAGCACCTCTCTGCAAATTTCTGCAGATCTCTCACTCATGGACTCATGGGCTCATTCTGATTCATCTACAGAAACTGAGATCATCACGGCTATCCGAAACTGCTTTCTTGCCATGTTAGCTTGTCCATGCACTGCTAGAGGAGCTTCTGGCCTGAATCAGAACTTGAACGGCAGATTACGAGCACTTCAGAACAAAGGCCAAACCCTTTTCGCGCCTGCACCGCCACACAGAAGCGAGCGGAAAACTCCGATACAATGACGCAAAAAGACCTTGAGCTGACTTCATCGCAGAGAACAAAAGTCCAGTTTGCTGTGCAAGCTAAGAGGAACTGAGAACAGAGCTATGATGCTCAGATGCTCCCCTCGCATGTAGGGCTGACGGATAGAGTGGTCCTACCATGGATTGAATGTGAGTCAGCAGGAAAAAAATTGACATCGAAGCCACCTTGGGTCTGGAGCACTTTGGGGTAACAATGATGTGATCATCCACACATTGTGCGTCACTGCGCATGCATTCCAATCAAGCTGATGAGAATGGCAGGTTCCAGCTGCAGCTGCATTGCAGACCCCTATGGGTCCCAACTTACTCCCAACATACTCCTGCCTGCGAGCAAGGCAGATCTAGCTGGAATTGAAAGAGTCGAGGTACCAAGATGCTCCGAGCATGTTACGGCCCCGCGCTAAACAACTCTGGCGGTGGCCCAAAGCACGCCAGATCACCATGTCAACGTCCTGCACCAATTGCCGCCGCGCACACCTTAGGACATCTGCATCGCAACTCGCACAAATGCATCGTTCCAAGCCTCCTCCGCGCGACGTCCACAGGACTCCAAGCGCAAAGCTCTCTCCTTCCGAAGCGATGCAACAGAAGTTCAAAAGTGGGCAGAAAATCAGGGGAGCACGCCTGGGCTGCTTTTTGAGGAGCGATGTTGAGGAGTTTCAAGTGTGCATTTGCGGGCTCGGGCTTTGTTCCACACTCCACTAAGGCATTTAGCGCTTTGGACTTGCATGGTTTCTAAACCTGTTTGGAGTTGCTGCTTGTGATCTAGGGTTGAGGGCCCCTGCTCCATTTCTCGTTCGCGTCACAGAATCTAGCGACCCAATTCGGCGGGGCAACACGAATGGAAGCACATGGAAGCACAACATTCTGGATCGCAAAAACATACGACACACTTGCAAGACCCACGCTGCTCACGCTCCCCTCTAAGACTCCAAGACACCCCTGCCCCTCACCCCTCGGAAGGCTGCTACAAAGCTGATTATACACATCCCAGACCGTCATGTGTCTAGCGTGCACACACAATGACGCATCAAAGGTTGAACAACATTTGGTGAGTTCACTCGTTCGACCTTCGTGTTTACAACTCAACCAGACAAGAGGCTGTCGATAAACCTGTTGAGTATCCAAAGTATCGCTGCATCGTTTCTAGATGTTTCTGGCCTCGCCTGGCATTTTGGATTCCCCCACCTTCGTACCCCTTCGTCGACTCCGCATTCGTAAGGAAACTCCACGGACACATTCAATGACGCATTCAATTCACTTAGTCACATCATTCACTTAGCCACATCGACCACACAAAGTGGACTCAGACGCATTTTCAGAGATGGCTAAGAAGGTGCACCGATCCACAGCACTTCTTCCGGTTGAAGGATCAACATCAGAGGAATAAAACCACAAAAATCCCGGTGTCACAAGCAGCTCAGAAACATTCATAAACAGTAGGGATCAACAAAAACACATGCGAGCGAAATCATGCTGTCAAGAGGAACTGCATCCACACACGTACATACACATAGACATACATGTACACATATACATGTGTAAATGCAGATGTATGTCATGAAACTTTTTCATGCCTGTCATACAAAGGAGCCACGTCGAGCCGCTTTGGTTAGTGTTTACGGTTGGCTCAGAGGGAACACTGACTGAAGAAGACGTCACGCATTCCATTCTATCGAGCGCTTTTCCATTTTCCAGAATGGCAAACCACATGCCACTACAGTAGAAAGTGCACGTTCGTCCCAAGAAGAAACCCAGATCAGAGGCCAGACTTCTCCTGCAACCGCTTGGCAGCTTCTCTTGCAGGAAGCTGCAGCAAAGCTCGCCCAGCCGCCCGTGTCTCACGGTCACGTGAGTGCAATTGCCACATCTCTCAAAGTTTCACGCAAACTGTACTTCACACACCTCCATTAGTTTACACACTTATTACGCACACAAGCCTGGCAAAGAACACGTGGCCCGCAGAGAACGGCGAATGCATCAGAATGTGCATCCAGTCCCGCCTGCATCAGAGGATGCTGTCAGAATTCATCGAGGTGAGAACTCAGAGATTCTCAGAGCCATGTAGAGTCACGGTACCATGTGATACCAACTCTTGGGCAAGCGCACCTTGCTTATGCTTGCCAGCAGGTTCTCAACAACCAGAAACATGGACCTAAGTCTTAACATCATTGACATCCCAAAGCTGGAGATGTCGCGAGTGTTGCTGGCAAGCCAGGTCTAGGCCATGGCGGATCAGTAAAGCCACACATCAGCGGTGGGCGAGCGCCTGGAAGCTGCTGCGCGTGTAGCAGGACCTTCGCGAGAAAGACGAGCACAGTACGCAGATGCAGTTTAATGCCGTTGATTCAGCTGCTCGCCTCAACAGAAGTGCTGGCGTTAGATTCGATGAGCTTGGCTCTGGATCCGTTCAACAGCCTTTCACCATGCAAAGATCCAGCATGCCACATATTGCCACGTGCTCCTCATGCTCCTCGCAGCTCCAGGGGAGCCTTTGGACGGCTTGGCCGGCTGAAGCTGAAGGCACAAGGCCGACGAACCATCGACAATGTGCCTTAGCACGAAAGCACAGAACTGTGGGAATTGTGCCTCTGAAGTCCAAGTCGTTTTTATGCCTGAAGCATTCTGAAGCTACGCCACACATGCCAAATCCTCAGCTGCAGCATGTTGCAGCACTCTTGCAGCTCGGACACTCCCCAGGTCTTCGCTGATGCTGCGAAAGCATAGAATTCGCCACTTGAATTGCCGACGCGAACAACGCATGCAATCGGCACCTTAGATATACAATGCAGAAAATCACTTCGGCAGCGTCTCTGCCACCATGGAAGCTAGGAGTTGTACCTTCTGCGCGGTCGCTGCCACGCCGAAGAGAATGCACAAATGGCAGAAGCGGGAGAAGCAACACTGAGGGCAACCTGAACGGTGATTCGGGTGATCCTTGCGACCTCAGGCGATGGACAGCTCCGGATCATGAATCAGAACAGTCTGAGAGACATCAAGTCATTTCACAATTTCACAGCCAGTGACCTTCCACACTCTGCCCAGAGCCATTGCTGGCAGCGCTTCGCCGCATTCATTGGTCAAACACTACATAACACTACTTGTTCACAGCATCACGTTTTCTTTTGCAGCCCGTGGGTTGGATTGACATCTCGGTGCCCTGTGCAGTGAAGCACTCAATGTCCTGTCATGTTGCTGTCTTTGCTTGTACTTGTCCCAGCCAATGGCAAGATTCGGCAAGATCACACAAAAAGACCAGTGAGGTCCGGAGCGCCAAGATCCCACTGCCCGGCCTGCGGGCGACACGTTGGCCTCTTGTGATGGCAAATTTCTCCAATCAACTCATCAACTCCAGGTCTTTTCAACAGTGAGGGAGGCGAGGCTCTTGGATTCGGACGGCTTGTCGGAGACTGTCTTGGCTCCTTTGCGGTGTGAGTCGCGCAGTCCGTACAGAGGGACAGCCGTCTAAGGTCTATGCTATCACTCAGGCGTTGGCACTTCCAGCATGTGCTCCAAACGATGGCAAGCCTTGGGTTAGCGTCGGCAACTGCATTGTCGAGTACCGAGATGAATGCCAAGCGCGTCCCCAAGAGCAGCCCTGTTGCATGTGCCAACTACGCCAGCCAACAAATGCAAATTCCAGTAGCTCATATGGTCTGGGAAGCGAGCTTGGTGATCCGCTTGCTCCTGATTCATGCAGGCCAACGTGATCTGTAATTCGCGCAAGTGGGCTCCAGGGCTACTCGGCGGTTCTCTAGAGGTGGGCACTCCAGGCACACTTCGCGGCCCTGAAAGCCTCTCTGTAGGGTTGGGCACCACAGTGATACTCGGCGGGTCTTGCGGGCTTTTTCTCTGGGTGTGCCAATTTTGTGTGGGGGGCACTCCAGGCATACTCGTCGGGACTCTCTGAAGGAAATGGCAATGAAGAACGTAAACGAGTCTGAGCAGACACTGAGCAGACCCTCCACCCTCAGAGAAACACCGAAGAGCTGCCGAACCATCAACTCCCCACCATATCCAATGATTGATGTACCTGGTTTTGTCTGGCCGCTTGCCAACGCGTCCCGCACCCGGGCCTGCGCATGTTGTAGCATCTGATGTTGGGCCCAGCGCTCCTGCAGGCACGCATTCTTGCAGTGCTGTCGTTCCTTCAAGCCATCAGCGCCTGCAACTGCTCAAGAAGTGCACGGGCAGCATCAGATTCCTCCACTTGGCGAAACAAGCTGTCCATGCAGAGTGCTTTCTGACTGGCACAATCAGCGCTTCCTCCAGAATCATCCTTTCCAATCCTGGGCATGTGCAACAGTGGGCGACAAAAGTGCTTGCCCGGAAAATGCTACAAGTACGGGTAAAGGCTTTGCATGTCTGGTGAAACATCGAGACACAGGTACGTGGACTGATGTTCTGGGGCATTGCGGCATGACTGTATTGCACAGCCGTGGCAGTACAGCCCTTTTACGGCTACAATCAAGCACATTGGTTGCGTGATGCTCAGCCAGCAGATACCAACAGCTCTTTCCGCTTGTTCGGGGCCATTTCGAGCCTGTCTGGCGAAACCCTTGGGGGCTGCCTGGCATATCTTGCACTGCGGTCCGTGACCATGGATGCATCTGCTACAATCTGCCGCACTGCTACACTGTGCAAGCCTTCAGCCGTGAATGCAGGGAGGCCTTTCGGGTTCCCAGGATTTCGAGCCCGAAACTTGAAATGTCTCTGCCTGTGAAAGCTCAGCCGAGAGCAGCCCTGCATGGCCCTGCAGCACCCAGTGCAGCACCCAGCCCACTTGGCAGAGTATCTGTTTCGCATTGGTCGCCCTTTTGCACCTAGTAGGGGGCCTGACAGCTAGGGTTGGGATCTTGACCCGATAGTGCATTCTCCGGTCTTTAGTGAACCTTCCTCCTCTGTGCGGCACGCTTGCACAGTCGTGCCAACTCGGGAGTATGACTACTAGAGCTTGAAACTACAATCCGCAGCTTCTGTGCCAAATGTGCCGCAATCCAGGCGGACGATAAGCGACAACATTCAGCAACATTTACGATCCTCTCTGAGGACCAGACGCAGCCGACACCACAGCACCCAAGCCTGAAATGAACTTCAACGTCAGCTGTGACATGATCCAGGTCAAAGCTGCCCCTCTTGTCAGGCAACTCACATATTCCATTCCAGCATGCGGGGGGGATATCTGCGTCTGGGCTGTTGGCTAGTCGAAGCCAGAAGCCCACAGCCTGTTCCTGCACCTTTCCGGCGACACCTTGCAAGCTGTCACAAGCTCTCGTTGCTAGGCGTAGAATCTGAGTACAATCTGAGTACATGCCACACCGTGTGCTGCACACTGCCTGAAGAGAACAGCGAGCGATTCTCTGAGCTCTCCGCTTTGCAGTAGGCAATCTCTGGAGTAGCATGCTTGCGCAAGCCGGATCTGAAGCCGCTGGCACTCCTGGCGGTATTTCGAGCCAGGCAAGAGCCAGTTCCTATATCCACCGACGCCTGCTGCAGCGGGGGCGGCGTCAGTGAAGTGCCCCATCCCCCTCTCGACTTCCCTCACCCTCTACCCTCACCCCGTACCCCCTACCGCCACTCTCTATGCCCTACTCCCCACAAAGGGTTCCCTTAAGGGGTGCAGCCCCAACCCGCATTTGTTGGAAAGGTTTCGGTGCAGGATCTGGGGGTAACAGTCGGGTCTGGGTTTTGTTGACGTGGGTTCAGGATCTGTGATGAGGTTAGAAGGCTGGGCTTGAAGCGGCTTGAAGTTTGTTGATAGGATGTGCAGTTTCGGCTGAGTCAGGGCTTGACGTTTGTTGACAGGATGTGCAGTTTCGGGGCTCGCCACCCGCACCGACAGCTGCCGACACCCCTTTATGAATCCGCCGACCGCAAGTTGGGGGCGCCAGTGCGGGGCTTTTCCGCCGAAAGCAGATGTCGGCTCAGGGGCTCGGGGAGGAGCCACCGTACGGCAGGGAGAGAACATCCAGAGGCAGGCGCGCTGCTGGCTCCGCTGTTCGCTCGGCTGCCCCCTGTCACTAGCCCCCGAACACTGGATGAAACCGCCCCCTTCCAGCCCCACCCCACCCCCCCCCCCCGCCATCCCCCGCCCCCACGGCCGAGTTTCCTTCAGATTGTTTTTGTTCTAAGCTGCTCAGATCGATTCTCCTGTTGATCTCCAGAAGCTCTTGCCAGGCGGCGCGCGCGGCGCCAGGCTGCAAAGCAAGCCCTCATCAGAAATGAGAGTTGCACCTAAGTGCTGACATCTTTTCTGATATCTTGCAGCAGAAGAGATGGGCGCTGCGTCTGTCACATTGCACAGGGCTGCGATGCCAGCTGAAATCAGCACACAATTTGCCCGGAAACCACAAAACAATGGAACATTGTGAGGCCACCTGCAAAGATGCGCCGATCGTGAGGATCTGCATGTTTGACCACTGCCTTGCATTTCGGTGGCAGACGTGTGGAAAAAATCGAAGCTGCCAGAGCGGAGCGCGTTGCATGCGCCAGGGGTCAGACGATTGCAGCTGATGCACATGCCCAAGAAACTTCGCAGACGCGTGATCCCTGCCACAGGCTTGAAGCATCTTGATGTGCACCCAAGTGTGAAAAACGACACTGCGGCGAAAGCCTGGCTGTCAGCTGGCAAAACTGGATCCAAGCCTCTGGCTGATCGTGTCATGAGTGTCATGCTGCTCAAGTGTTGCATCTGCCGCATTTACATGTCTTCGGAGTGAGCCTTGAACTCCACAACCCCTTTTTGCCTACGCAATTACACCGCTCCAGCGGAAAGGAAAAGGGAAGACAACCCCACAGAAAGTTTGAGTTTTCTTTCCACTGCACTGGCTCTTTTCACATGGCACCGTCACACAACTTTCCGTGCCCGTGCTACGAGGGCGGGATTCGCTACGCTGTTGGCACGAATTCAGCCCATGGAGAACTGAACTTGAGCGAAAACTAGCGTTTAGGCAGCTTGCAACATCAGAAGCGCCTGACCTCGCTGCCTAGCTCCTACTTTTGAGGCGGCGCCAGACCAAAAAAAACACAACTCCAACCGTTCTACTGCAAGGCTGCGAGAACAAGGTGCAGGCAACGAGGCGTGAGTCCGTAAGTTGGAACCGAGCATGGACAGCTGCGAGTCTAATTGGGAAGACAAAGACCATGAGAAACAGTGAGTAACACCACCCACTAATTACAGGAGGCATCAACCAGAGGAGTTGCACCTGGATCTCTCGGCATCCACATATTCCTTCTTCTTTATAATTTATTCTTTCTTCTTTCTTCTTTCTCCTTTCTCCTTTCTCCTTTCTCCTTTCTCCTTTCTCCTTTCTCCTTTCTCCTTTCTCCTTTCTCCTTTCTCCTTTCTCCTTTCTCCTTTCTCCTTTCTCCTTTCTCCTTTCTCCTTTCTCCTTTCTCCTTTCTCCTTTCTCCTTTCTCCTTTCTCCTTTCTCCTTTCTCCTTTCTCCTTTCTCCTTTCTCCTTTCTCCTTTCTCCTTTCTCCTTTCTCCTTTCTCCTTTCTCCTTTCTCCTTTCTCCTTTCTCCTTTCTGCGTTCTGCGTTCTGCGTTCTGCGTCTTCTGTCTTCTGTCTTCTGCCTTCTGCCTTCGGCCTTCTGCCTTCTGCCTTCGGCCTTCGGCCTTCGGCCTTCGGCCTTCGGCCTTCGGCCTTCTGCCTTCTGCCTTCTGCCTTCTGCCTTCTGCCTTCTGCCTTCTGCCTTCTGCCTTCTGGCTTCTGGCTTCTGGCTTCTGGCTTCTGGCTTCTGTCTTCTGTCTTCTGTCTTCTGTCTTCTTTCTTCTTTCTTCTTTCTTCT